GCTCATCCGCGGGGTCAGCTAGGGCCAGGGTTAGAACATCCATTGCCTGCGTGCGCGCGCGCGCACCCCCGCCGCTGGGCTGCGCGCACTAAAACCCACGCTCGTCTGGGCGGGTGGCGCCACCCCGCCCTGCGCGAGCCTTTGCACATCAACAGCATGAAAAGTGATGGGGCTTGGGCCTGCGTCTGGACGCGCGTCCGCCGCTCGAGCCTCCAGCGGTGACGGCCTGCGAGCGACTGCAGCAACAACCCGCTCGCGCGCACACCTACTAGGGTGACTTGAAAGCCCCCTCTTGGATGCTGCCTCTGTGCCACCTCATATCATTGTCCCCTGCAGCTACGGTTCCGGGCTGGACGGCGGCGGCGGTGACGGCAACGGCGCGGCGGCTTGAGGGTCTGGAAGTGGACGCCGAGGCAGCCGGCACAGGCAGAAGCGGCCAGCGAGCTGGTTCTGCTGCGCTGGTGATGTCGCCCACCAGGAAATGGCACCCAGTTTTGTTGGGTTGCGTGCATTTCCTGACTCGAGGCTTCCGAGATTAGCTTGGTGAAAGGCGGGTGCGGTGCACAGGTTGCTTGGCCCTTGGCCCAAGCCAGCCACACACATTGAGACTTTGCGCATCTGCTTCAAGTTCACTTCCACTTGCTTCGTGGGAAGTTGTATCACAAACCCCCGGCGTGCTTACAAACCAGGTCAACCAGAGGCTTTGTGAACCCATGTAAAAGGCTTTTGTATGTGTAATTTGGGTTGGAGATCACAAAGGGAGGGCATGTGGGGAGGGCGCAAAGCACGTGGAGCGCGCGGCAGCCATCAAAAAGTGGAATCTGCTGATGGTTGGACTCATAACGGCCCAAGGCCGCCGTGGATGCTGCTGGCGGATCTGGGATCACGTGAGCAGTACAACCACCACAAAGCGCTGAGTGAAAGGGGCGGAGCGCGGCCGGGGCCGCTGGACGTGCCACAATGTGTGTTGGGCAACTGCTTGGTGCCGTGTGCGGCACAGGACTGGAGCCGGGGGTGGCAGGAGCGGGGCGGCGGGCGCCGTCGGCTGCTCAGCTGGGACTGGGCGCGCTTGTGCAGTCCTGTAGATGGGCAAATGCAGCATCGTGCAGGCACAATGTGTGTGGCGTGACGCGACAATAGTATGCGAGGACGTCCTGCAAGGGCTTGGCGGTGCTCAACCAGTCAACAGCGCAAGTGCCGGGCGGGTGGGTTGGGCCGGGCTGGGCCGGGTCGGGCGGTGCCCAGTGACGCTGCTGGTGTGGCGACGGCCTGGGCGCCTGCAGACCGCCCGGGTAGGCCTATGGGGACCCCACCGGCCATCCTGTTTGATCCGCGCTTTGGTGGTGCCAGCTGTTGACGTGCCAATGTTGACTGAGCACGCGCCACCCCGCCCTGTGCCACAGGCGCGCCGGGGGCGCCGGCAGGCGCTGCCACCACTGCCGGCGCGCGGCCCTGCGGCCCTCGGGAGCGCTACTGTTGCTGCACCTGCTGCCGCGGCTGGCCTTGGGGCGGGCCGTGCGGCTGCTGCTGAGAATACACAGGCGTGTACCGCCGCTGCGGCGGCGCTGGCGGCGCCGTCTGCTGCCCTACTGACAGCTGCGCCATACCAGACACCAAGCTGCCTACCACGCCCGCCCCGGCCCCGCCATCCCCGCTGCCGCTGCCACGGCGTGGCGGCGGCGGGGCCGGCTGCTGCTGCTGACGGCGTGGGGCCCGCC